GGGTATATCCTCGTGTCCCTCAATACAAGCCCATCCTTGGAGACACACGATAAGCACTGCTGGATGGACAGAGAGAGAAATCACACATAAAGAGAATCCAGTGCAAAGCAGCGAACGGGGATCTCTGTGACTCAGGCAGCAGGCCACCTACGCATAGTCGGGTACAGCTTAACTATTCGGTGGGACTGAGTGTGGTGCATACACCAAGCCCCCGGGTGCAGGGCGCACGAAGCCCCATCAGTCAGGGTATCTCACTGAGGGTCCGTTCCCTGGATCTGAGATTAGGTAATGACAACAGAAACTGAAGGTATCTAAGAGCTGAAGATAGAACCAATGGAGATGGGAAGGAATTTGAGGAAATAGAAAAGAAAAAATATACTAAAGAAAAACAGACTTCATGGTCTTGGCTTTAGATATAAAGCATTTTAAGTATAAAGGAAATTGGGTTGAACACAAGATCATACATGTTTAATAAAGAAACTCATCCCATTTCTCACTCTAAATTCATGGTGACGTCAGTGTGCACAGATTCAGCAGTTGTTGATTTTATTTTTTCTGACGGAACAACACCACGTGGTCAGCGAGCTACAGAGGAAGCCCTGGCCAGGTCTGTGCTTGGTGAGGAAGGGAGGTCCTTTCTCCCTGGGCTTCAGCTGACACATTTTTCGGGACTGTCTGAGCACTTGGAATCTTGGGGCAGGAGAGGATCTCTGTAAATGAAAGTTAGAAGAGAAAAAATATGGCTGTTACCAGATCTTATAGGATCAAAGGAGAATGTTCCACAAGTAGCTTCCAGCTCAGCCAGTGACCAACAAATATGTGTTGAGTGAGTAAAAGCAAAAATGAATGAACAAAGTCTGCAGCAACAAAACATGATTAAATTTGGTTAAAAAATGAATTCGCTTGGCAGATCGGGAACCATTAACGATTCCAAGTTCAGTGCTCCTAGGCAAGATTCTTTCCTTTTGGAGTCTCGACTTCCCCCTCTGCAAAATAAGATAATAATATTCACCTCACATCATTGAGCATGTTTATTGAGATTATAAATTCTAAGAGCTTAACAATCTTATCCTGGGGATTTGTGTACATTCATCTGGTAGTGTGAACTAAAATAAAATCTTACCCCCCAGCTGCCTGAATGGACCCTTCTTAGCCAAGGGGACCCCAGAAATATCCTAAAGCTGAGCTGCTGGCCATGAGAAGGGAGGTCAGACCTTCCCCACCATGTCCCCTCCCTCCTTGGAGATATCCTTCGCAACTCATTAACAGGCCTAAGGCTATACAAGACAAAGCTTAAACCACTGCTACAGGTCATCAACTTACTTAACAGATCCTTGAGTCTGGGTGTCCAGTATATGTCTGGTGGCTTGTCTCTGATTAACAGACTCTCTTATCTGAATTTAAAACCTTCCAAGCCTTTAGACAAAACTTCGTGTCTTTAACCAATTACAAATCAAAGAATCTTTAAACCCATCTATATAATCCCCTGCTTCGAGATGTCCTGCCTTTTTGGGCCAAACCAGTGTACACCTTCCATGTATTGTTTTATGACTTTATGTATAATTCCCGTCTCCTGAAATGTATAAAACCAAGTGCAACCCAACCACGGCGAGACCACTTGCTCAAGGCTTCTTGGGAGTGGCTCTCTGGACCACGGTCGCACATATTCGGCTCAGAATAAACCTCTGTAAATTATTTTACAGAGTTTGGGTTCTTTTCTGTTGACAGTAGCAACAAGCATTTGCCTAATACACAGTTGCCTAAAGAATGAATGAAATAACCAAGTGATGAGATATTGAATATGGGCCATATTTTGTAATCTTTTTATGTGATTCAAAGATAAGGTGTAATTTAATGTTCATAAAACAATCAGACATCTGATGTCGAGAAATAGGCCAAAGTCATAGTTTTCACTGAATTAATTGGTTGACTCAATCCAAAATGTCAGTGTATTAGGCCTGTGTAGATGTAACCATCAGCCACATTGCGAGCACCTGTGCACAATGACGTGCCCTCGATTTCCGAGTGTGAACCTAGTGGAGGGTGGCTACGTGGTAGGCCGGGGGTCCCAGGTTTTGTGGTGACCTAGACCTGGAGTCACATCCCAGATCTGCCATACGTTGGCAGATGCCCTTGAGTACTAAGCACTTCTGAACATTTATTTCTTCATGTATAAAATAATGATCTATTACCTACTACTAGGATAAAATGAGATAATGTGCTGCATGTCTAACACAAAATGGGAGGTAAAAAATATTAGTTTACCTCCCATTCTGATTCCTTTCAAATTGAGGAATAAAAATGCATTAGGACAATAGGACCAAAAAAAAACAAAAATAGCAGTAACTGGAGCCAATTTCAGTAGGAAACATGAAAGAAGGGCAGGAGGGAGGGAAGAGAGAACCTCTGTATCTCTAATTGCCAGTTGCCAAGCAGTGCCCCAGAGGCCAAGACCCCTGTGTGGATCTTCCATCTGCCCACCAGTGCAGGGTGTACACAATGGTTTAGAACAATAGCCCAGGGGCCTGGAGCCCCTGGAGGCATCACCACTGAGGAAGTATGTGTGTGATTTTTAGAGTAGTCTTCACTTCTCCAGAAACCAGGAGCTGTATCTCAGACTCTGACACTTGTTCATAATTAGAATTCATTAAAATCTATATTGTATCTTCTTTCTGAAGTCACTTAATTGCTTGAACAGAAAACCTGGGAATACTTAGGAGCCGGCATGGAGAGAATCACTGGCTTACAGTTTTGGAAAATTCATTCGGTGCAACTAAAGAGCCTCGGGTATCTACAGAAGTAAGGATTGCCCCACCTCCATTTGTGAGGAACCCTAAAGGATGGAGAGCCACACTCTTCCTCAACCAGCTATTTTAGAGACAAATGACTGCCAGGATGTCCTTGTCCCAGTAAACCCATCTCACCTTATATTCATTAACCATGGGGCCCTTGCTCAAGTGCCTCATTAAGGGGAAAGGGAGACAAATGTGGTCAGTCATCCTCCATCTTCTTTTTCCTTGTTGGTATCTGTGCAGTGTCTTTCGATGTTTCCGTCTAGGTTTTATTTGAGCAATATCTATAAGTTATGTGGCATGAGGTTAACTGGAATTTACTTAAGTGGCTCTTCTAATTAGACTGCTACTTAGTGACCAGTCACTGGCCAGTTTGGGAGACATGAGATTTCAGAGAGCAGTTGTAATGTTGTCAAAACAAGTACTGGCTTTGGGTCAGAGTGAGTTTGAACCCACGCTCTGCCATCTCCTTGGGGAAACCAAATTCACCACAGGAAATGAGCAGATCAGGAGGAGGCTTTCTTGACCTTGGCACTATGAAGGTTGTTAATTCTTTGTTGTGAGGAGGGCTGGTTCTGTGCACTGGGGTGTTGAACAGCATGCCTGGCCTCTTCCCACCTGACGCCATTATCATTTGTGACAACTAAAGGTGTTTTGAGACACTGACAAATGTCCCCTGGTTGAGAACATTGGATCACCTGGAGGGTTTGTTAAAGTACACTTCTGAGCCCCAGCCACAGCCCCTGATTTGGTAGCTACAGGCTGGAGCCCGACAATCTGCACCTTGAGCAAGTGGCGGGGGCTGCTGATCCGGGACACGCTCGGCCTAGGCAGCCCGGGGTGCCAGCAACCGGCACATCTGCCTTCCCTCTGCCCGTGGAATCCCTAATTCAGCGGTTCCCACGTTTGTCTGCAGATTGGAATCACCGGAAAACCTTTTAAACCTTCCAAAGAGCAGGCTACATCCCAGACCAACAAAATCACTATTTCTGGAGTGAGGCACAGGCATTATCATTTTTTGAAACTTCCCAGATCATTCCAATGTGCAGACAGATCCGGGGACCTTCGTTCTAAACACCGTCGCCTCACCTGTGATTGAAGGTTCAGGGCCAGGCGATTCGGCCGCGGCACACGTACCCTGCGAGTCGCAACAGCACAGCTAAACCGCAAGCGCTGCACGGGACTGTGCCGTCTCGGCCTCTGCGGGAAATGTGGGGCAAATTCGTTTAAAAGGCTTTGTAATCGAGCATTCCGAGCTGGAAGGAGTGCTGACACGAAGCAGCAGCTCACCCTAGCTGCGGAAAAGGAGGATGGAGGGTAGCGTGGAAAGAAGAGGCTCTGAGGGGAAAACGGGAAGCTTTAGGGGTGCCCCGTGTGGAGGAGACGAAGTTCACGCCTCAGCTTTCACAACCCTCCGCGTGCACTTCCGAAGGGACCTGCCCCAGTTTCTGAGCCACAGCCCCTGGCCACGGAAGGACACGGGAGAAAGGAAAAAGACAACAAGAGACCAAGACCAAGACGAGGACTGTGGATCAGGACGGCATGAGGTGAGTCCGCGAGGGAAGGCGCACGAGATGGGGGAGTGACTACCCTCACCCCACGCGTGAGCCCGTGATTGACAGTGGGCTGACTGTGGAGACTCCCGGAAAGGCAATTGCATGACTTCTCCTCTATGAAACTTCCCAACATTTCAAATCTCTGACAGTCCAGAAGTTTGCTTTTTTCCCTCAAATGATGAGATGTAGTTTACTGTCTTACTGCTATGCACACAGTCCCCAATAAAGCACATAACCACAGCAGGTTACTGGAACTTACGCTGCCCTTCTCCATCCATCTCAAATTGAGAAAACCGAGGCTGCATAAAAACAAAAAAATCTGTAATACTGTAGGGGAATAAAAAAAATCAAATCAGTACAGCAAAACCATAGGGGGTTGAAATAAATGACGTGGGCTCGATGTAGCCCACAGCACAAACAGTGCCACTGGCAGGCGCGACTCCCTTTTACATCATTCTGGCAGTTCTTCAACGCCTGTTGTGAGACATTTCTGATCTAGGCATGCTGGAAGAGATAGGGAGGGAAAAACATATCCTCTTCCTCTGGGGAACAGTATGAGAGGAAGTGAACCTCCCTTAACACTGTTCTGAGCCATGTGCACACCTGCATGCACACGCAGGCACACGCAGAGCCCCCGGCCACACACGTCGCGATGCTGAGGAACTGCCAGGAGGAGGGAAAGCGCCAGAGCCGAGGCGGCAGAGGCAGCGTCCCGCAGCCGGCTCGCGCTCAGCCCCCAGAGGGGACGGGGACTCCGACGGCCACAATGCAGCGCGGCAACGGAGGCAGTGGGATTTTCATGGGCAAGCACGTGTTTCTTTCAGCTACTCATCATACGTATTTCTATGGTCCACCAGCACTGACCCAGGGCCACCTCGAACCACACTTTGTGGTGAAATACAGCAGGAAGAAGGACGCAATCCCTGGTCATAAGTAATTTGCAGTCTAGGTAGGGAGAGCCAGTGTGCAGCAGAGGAACCCCCCCAGGCACAACAAACACACCCCCTTCCAGGTTTCAGGAGACAACGTGTGTAAAGGAGCTCTCCACGTGGGAGGGACCGGGAGCCCCTTGCAGGCAAGTGTAAGTGTTGACTCTATGATTATTTTGTGAAATTAATCTGCTCGAGTGAAGAAAGGAAGAGTTCTAACATGTATTGAATACCTACTACGGAAAAGGCATGACCTCACCATTTTTCTTACGGTAACCCTGGGAAGTGGGCATAATAATCCCATTTTATAGAGAGGTAAGCAGAGGCTTGAAGTTACAGAGGTGGCAATAGTACTGACGTTAACAGCAGCTGGCACTTAAATGTCAGACTCTGTCCCAAGTCTGTCCCAGACTCTACATATGTAACCACTTAATGCTCCCAGAGGTCCCAACGATTTTTGAAATGAGGAACCGGAGTCCAAGTCCAATAGTTTGTCCAAGTCACAAAGCTGGGGACAGTGCAGCTGGAGCTTGAACCCAAGCAGCCTGGCTCCAGGGACTAGGTACTTAACCACAGCGCTTTAAACTGGATAAAACCAGCAAAGGACATTCAGCCAAGCCCAAGTCAAATTATTGCAGATGTTAAACATGTGATCTCTTATCCTTTTCATTTGCCTTGGTGGAGGGGAAGGGAAATGTCAATGGAAAAGAACCCAAACTCTGTAAAATAATTTAAAGTGGCTTATTCTGAGCCAAGTATGAGTGACCCTGGCCCAGACACACCCAGGGAGCCTTGAGCAAGTGGGCTCACCATGGTTGGGTTACAGTTTGGCTTTATACATTTTAGGGAGACAGGAATTATACGTAAAGTCATAAATCAATACATGGTAGGTGTACATTGGTTTGGCCCAAAAAGGCAAGACATCTAGAAGCAGGGGATTATGGGTTTAAAGATTCTTCAATTTGTAATTAGTTAAAGAAATGAAGTTTTGTCTAAAGGCTTGGAATGTTTTAAATTCAGAAAAGAAAGTCTGCTAATCGGAGACAAGTCACCAGACATATACTCAGACTGACGAGATCTGTTGGGTAAACTGAAGACCTGCAGGCGTGGTTTAAGCTTTGTCTTGCACAGCTTTAGGCCTGCTAATGAGTCACAAAGGACACCTCCAAGAAGGGAGAGGAGCATGACAAGGCATGTCTGACCTCCCTTCTCATGGCCAGCAACTCAGCTTTAGGGTCTTTCTGGGGCCCCCTTGGCCAAGAGGGGGTCCATTTAGTCAGCTGGGGAGCTTCAGATTTTAGTTCACAGAAGGGAAAGGAAGGTAAGTGACAGTGGGGCTCCAGTGCAGAGGCTCTGAACCAGGGAGACTGCGGCCTGTAAGGACACTGGGCAGTGTCTGGAGACTGCTTTGCTCCTGGCGTCCGGAGGGCAGGGTGCAGGTGTGCTGCTGAACGCCTGCCATGCACGTGCCCGCGGCAGAGCAGCACCGCTCCGCATGCCAGTCTCGCGGCTGCTGAGAAGGCCAGCTCAGGAGAGCCGGGCAAACAGCCGGGCAGGTTTAGGGGGACAGCTTGGGTGAGTCTCGTGGGCTTTGTGCCCAGGACCTGGCCCCGGTACAGTCAAGGGCAATGGGAGAGTCCCAGACTGTGGGAGCCTTATAAAAGGAGAAATTGGGGGCTGTCGACATGGGAATGGGCTGGTTTGCGTATCACAGGCAGGCTCTCAGGCAAGTTACTTACTGTCTCCAGGAATTCGCTTACCCTGGAGGTGCAGTCCCTCCCCAGGTCCAAAAGGCCTCAAGATATGACAGTGTCATCAAACACAGAAAAGGGGTGCAGTGTATCATATCCTCACTCAAAGCCATGTCTGTCTCAAAAATTTGAATTTAACCATGCCAATTTCTGTGCTCAGCTCCAGAGAGAAGCTTTTGAGGTGGACCCTGCTATACTCTGAAACATGTCTGATTTAGATCTAAGGGGTCTCTATGCCCAGTATGAGCGGCTTCAGAATGGTGGGGTTTAAGGCTGCAGATAACAGGGGCCCCCTGGCACAGCAGGAAGGGCCAGGACAAGCAGCACAGACAGCTGCTTCCTGGCACAGCTCCCCGCTGTCTAAAAATAGGACCTGGGACAAGTCCCAGCTTCTAAGCTCCTTTGCACCTTTGACCATAATATGGTAAGATGTGGGCAGTGGGCTGGTCAGTGGGTCTCAAGTCAGATTGCACCTCGGCGCAGCCTGGAAGCTTTGAAAAGCAAGGCACTCACGCCCCACGCCCAAGGATTAGATTCAGGGAAATAGAAAACACAGATCGCCCATAGAGATGGTACAGCCTGGCCACATCTCTGACATGCTGTGCCTCTGAGACACTTGGCTGCCCCTCCCACGCTGTCCCAGTGGCCCGGTGATGCCACCAGCTTTAGCATTCCCTCATGGTCTCACTCCTTAATAGAACGCTGGGCAGCTCATGGCACTTCCCTCCAATCACTCCACTGCAGTCGTCTGCTACCAGACTCAAGCCCAAAAATACTAGCCAGAATTCAAGGCATCCTTAGGATTCCGGACGTGGGACCAGGCTTGCCACGGACCTCGGTGGCTGGGCAGTTTGCCTGGTAGGCAGGTCTCCCCTGGCTGTCACACAGCTTCATCCTTTGGGGCAGCATAATGGATTCTAACTTGCCCCTTGTCCACACCTCCTAGAACTGCCTTTGAGGGACTTTTTTCCGTGATAGCTTAACTCATAGTTCCTTGAGATTTGATATGAGAAGGGAGGACTTTAGGGATCCCAGCAGCTCTCAAGGAAAACTACCGAATCCGACTCACCCACCCCTAACACGGAGTCCACAGATTTATATTTATAGCAAGGCCCAATCTTTATCAAAAATTTTTAAGAAACCTTCGTAACTAAGACTCAGCTATCATAGAAGTATTGAGGTGAAGATAAGAAAACTACGGTATGAGCATGAGGAGAACACAGTGTCAAAAACCCCCAAGAGCAATTACTGCAGCTGAGCACACAGGCGCAAGTCCCGGATTCCTGAGTCCAGGTGACAGGAGAGAGGAGATGCTCATGCAGCCCCACCGCTGGTAAGACGCACCACGCCAGCCGCACACACAGCTCTCACCTATTTCTCGGAGAAACGTATCATGTGGATCATCAAGTAAATAAGAATTTTGAACCACATAATTCTTGTACTTATGGATCTAGGCCTTGAGTTAGCCACGGGAGTAAGCGCTTTTTTGTTTTGTTTTTATTTTTTCTGTGCATAGTTTTGTTTAAGTATCGGGAATATTGTTAAATATGTATTTTTTACACAACATAGGGGGTTATAATATGCTGTTGTTCTTTTTCAAGCTTTTTGAGATGGAAACTTAGATGGCCAGTTTTTAGTCTTGCCTTTTTCCTGACATGTGCATTCTGAGTTCAAGTTTCCCTCTGAGCACTGTTTTGGCCTCACACTAGGCTTTTTGTAATAACGTTTCATTGTGAAATAACGTTGACCCTGCAAAAACTTGCAAGAACGTTATGAAGAACTTCTGCTGCCCCTTTACCAGCCTTCCTGGTTGTTTCCCTTCTGCTGTCTTCATCCATCACCCCTTTTCTGTGTCTCTCAGGGAATGTTTCCTGTCCAACAGTGAGGCTCAGCAGGAGACAGGCAGGGAGTGCTGGAATCACTCCTCCGCCGCTGGCTTTGTCCTCACCAGCCTTTTTAATGACAGCCAGACGCACCTGTTCCTCTTCAGCATGGTGGTGTTTGTCTACATCCTTGCCATGGTCGGCAACACTGCCATGGTCCTGCTGATCTGGGCTGATGCCCGGCTCCACACACCTATGTACCTCCTCCTCAGCCAGCTGTCCTTTCTGGACATCTTCTTTACTTCGGTCACCGTCCCCAAGATGATAGTGGCCTTCCTCTTTGGCTGGACGAGCATTTCCTTTGGGGGCTGTGGGGCACAAATGTTTTTCTTCATGTTCCTGGGAGCCGCAGAGTGTCTTCTGCTGGCACTCATGGCCTATGACCGCTACGTGGCCGTCTGCAACCCTCTGCGCTACCCGGTGCTCATGAATCGCAGGGTCTGCTTGCTCATGGTGGTGGCCTCCTGGCTGGGAGGGTCCCTCAACGCCTCCATCCAGACCGCACTGACCCTGCAGTTCCCCTACTGCGGCTCACGGAAGGTCGCCCATTTCTTCTGCGAAGTGCCCTCCCTCCTGGTGCTGGCCTGTGCAGACACAGAAGCCTACGAGCAGCTGCTCTTTGTGACAGGTGTGGTGGTCCTGCTGGGGCCCATTGGCTTCATCACCACTTCCTACGGCCTCATCCTGGCAGCCGTGCTCCAGATGCACTCTGTGGAGGGGCGTCGGAAGGCCCTGGCCACCTGTTCCTCCCACTTGACAGTCGTCAACCTCTTCTATGGGCCCCTCATCTATACCTACATGTTACCTGTGTCCTACCACTCTCCTGGGCAGGACAATGTCGTATCTGTCTTCTACACCGTTCTCACGCCCTTACTTAATCCCGTCATCTACAGCCTCAGGAACAAGGAAGTGACAGGGGCAATGAAGAAGGTGATAGGAAAGTGTGGGGTCGGAAGGAGCGCTAACGCCAGGAGGGCGGCCTAGGAGACAAACGCCTGAGCTGTCAGTTCAGTCATGTGCACTGGGGCAGAAAGAAGGGGGTGAGTGTATTTCAGAAGACTTTTCATACACAGGGTGTGTCTATGGCTCCAGGATCCTGTTCTAGGATTCCCTTTGGGAATGAGAAGTTGAGCCCCAAATCTACATGCAGAGAAGTGAAAGGGGCAGCCCCCAGTTCCCCTCCAGCCACCACCCTTCTCCTTCTTCAGAAAGTTCTCCAGATCATCTGATTCCATGCCTCATGCCCCTGACCCCACCTCAACAAACTCCATCCGGGCCTCTTCTTTAGCCATCGATGCCGATCATCCCTGTAGGACTGAATGTTCAAAGACTTCCGTTCTCACCCCCAGTAAAAGCTGCAGGGCCCACAGTGCCCTCGAACTCTGGCTACTTCCCCGATCATTTCTTTTTAGCACTTCTCCTTTTTCAGTTCAGGAAAGCACAGACTTTCCTCCTGAATGCTGTATTCTCAGCTCCTAGAAGTGCGCCTGGCACATGGCGTCAATCAGTAAATACCTGTTGGATGAACAGATAACTACAAGAACATTTTCTTACCTAATCACAGCAGTGCTGGTCCTCTTCCCAGCTCTTCCTTCTTGAAAATCTTTCTTCCCTTGGTGGTAACACCATGTTCCTGGTTTTCCTCCTACTGCTGGCCTACTGCTTCCCATTAAGTGAGGAAGATCCTTGAAACCTGGCTAGACCCTTCTCTTCTCAGTCCACACTCTACAGTCCCTCCCGTTCACAGTCATGGCTTCAGTTGCCACCTGACGCCAGAGTCACTTGTACGTATTTAGAGGCCAGCCAGACATTACTTCCCAGTGCCTCACCACAAACCCAACTCTCTCTTGATACTCCCCCTGGATGTTTCAAAGGCACATCAAATTCACCCTGCCAGGAAAGAAAGTCATAATCTCATCTTCAAGCTGAGCCTCTTCCAGGGCTGGTAACTGAGTGGACACCGCACAAGGTCAATGGGTCTCCATCACTGCCCACATCCGATCACTCACCGTATCCTGCCTTACCTCTCCACGAAGTGACTTCTGGGTGCTTACCACTGCCGCCACCATGGCCCAAAAATGCAGTCAGCCCTTACCTGGATGATGCTCACCTGGATGATGCAGGAGTTTCCCTACAGGCCTTCCTTCCCCCTTCCTTGTCCTACCCCCGCATGTAGAACCACAGCTTAATTTGCAAGATGCAGCCAAAGGGGTCTCTAGACACAAATCTAAATACATGCACCAATCCCACCCCTTAACCTCCTCGTAAATCCCTTTAGCAATTCCCATCACTCTTACCATGTATCACCATCTAACACGTGACATAGTTTTAATTACTTATATTGTTTACTGTCTGTCTGCTCCTACTACAAAGTAAGCTCCATGAGGGCAGGTGTTTTTGTCCTTGCACTTGGCACATAGTAGGAATTTGTTAAATATTGAAAAATAACGACAAGGATGTTCTTGGAATAAAGTAAATAATCTCATTCTTTCATTGCCTACAAAGCCCTGCACAATCCAGCCTCTGTGACCTCATTCCATGCTCCTCCTTCCTTCTCTCCCCCTGCTGCTGTCTGCTTACAGGTTATTACCAGAACTATTCCTCTACCTGGGATGCTGCTCGCTCCTCTGTGCTTAGTTAGCTCCTGCACATTCTCGTGTCCTTTGATCAGGTATTGTCTCTTCAAGGAAGCCTCCTCTGACATCCCAAACTAAGTCAGTCTCCCGTGCACATGTCCCCACTTCCTTTGAGGAAGGAAGCCCTTCCTTCCTCACTTAGGTCTGTCTCCTCAGGGGACTATGAACTGCCTAAGAGCAGAGAGTCTGTATGACTTTGTTCACAAACATCCCATAGTGCCTGACACTGCATCTGGCCCATTTGAGTGCCTCAGGAAACATCACAGAAGGGAAGAAAGAGAGGAAGGAGAGAGAAGGCAGGCAGTCAGGCAAGCAGAAGGGCGACAGGGAGGGAGGAAGGGAAAGTTCCTGAACACCGTCTTGTAGCTCCAAGTTAGGCCATACCTCTGACTTCCTAAGTCTTTGCTTACATAAAGTAACTGCAGAAACAAGAGACACCAAAATCACTTTCAGTTACCTTAAGATGTCCCCAGAAGTCTTCAAAGGCCAGAAATCCATCTTTAAAGTCCAATCTGTACCATTTTTTCTGCAGCTGAATTAATTTTCTCTAAATTGATTCTTGATAAAACTTGAGAAGAGCCTTGTGAGTGCTCTGTACCCAAAGGCTCCCGTTCACATGGGGGGTGTGAGTAACCGACAAAGGATCACGCGGAGGCCGAGGCCTCATAAGCACACGTCCGCCATCTGATTCCAGAGCAGGGTTCCCTTCGCCATGACAGTGCCCCACCCCACACTAAAGCAGCATGAGCTCACACAGCCTTTAACTCCTGAACACGCACCCACACAAGAAGAAAGCCGCAATTTGCAACTATTGATGCTTCAAACCTCAACTCTCGAAACAGGTGGGCAAGTTTGAAAACTGATAAGTAGGAGATAATGCCTGCTCATTCCTTCCTGTGGTAGAGGGTTCGAGTTGTCTCCTAATATCCTGTTTCATCTTCTTCTTTATATCCCAATTTCAACTGAGCAGATATCGCCAGGGACAAAGAATATATTTCTGTTACTGATGATATAATGTATTCTTGAAAAATGCTCAGACAGTGTGTGGATGTTAAGTGTTCTCATCACAAAAATGACAACTATGTGAGGCAACGCATTGGCTAGACTTAACCACTCCACAACGTGTACATACTTCAAAATGTCTTGTTGTACATGATAAATATATTCAATTTTATGTCAATGTACAAAATAATTTTTTTCAAAAAATGAAATTTAAATTTTAAAATGAAAAACAGGATCTATTTCCCAATTACTCTCTCAGCTAGTTACACTCTGATCAGTGGACTACAAGCACAACTGTGCGTGCCTTCCTGCAGGGTTCTTGGAGGTCAGAGTGGGGTCGTGCGCCTCTCCACCCCACCCGGCTTTCCTGCTGGCTGCTGTGTGGTCACAGCAGCTGGAGCTTTACAGACCTCTTGGAACATGAGGTAGAAGCCAAGAAATGAGAATGCAGAGCAGCAACGTGGAAGGAACCCGAGTTCCTGAAACCGTGGAGTGAATCACAGACTAAATACACAGGGAGTAAGTTCTGGATCTTCTGGCAGTTGTACCACTGCCACCACCTCTGTGCCCCAAAAACACATTACAGTGCGGGTAGCTCTTCCATATACTGATTTCCTGTCTTTTGGATATATGCCCAGTAGTGGAATTGCTGGATCATATGGTGGATCTATCTTTAGTTTTTTTTTTTTTTTTGAGTAATCTCCAGACAGTTTTTCATAGTCTCTGTACTAGTTTACATTCCCATCAACACTGAGCTCACTGGGAATATACTTCCAAAATTTTGAGTGAAGTTGATGGTCAGTGAGACAAACGGAAGCTGCCTGCCCACATTCTCTTTACAGTCAGACTGTCTAATGCACCCAAGAAACCAAGATCTACCTTGGGCAAGAATTCCGTCTGTTTTTTCACTGATGTGTCCCCAGCTTTTAGATTATTGCTGACACGCAGTAGTACTCAATAAATGGTTACCAGATTAATTTAAATGATCTATCTGTGTGGGTTTTTTATTTTTTACCTTTTTAAAGACTAGATTGGAACCAATTCTGAATTATAAACCCCAAGATAATATATATTCTAGAAATGTACAATTTAGAAAGCACTTTGCTGCTGTGGAAAACAGTTTAGTGGTTCCTCAAAAGGGTAAACACAGAATTAATTTATAATGAAGCAATTCCATCACTGGGTATACGCCCAAAAGGATTGAAAACAGATGTTCAAACAAAACCTTATACCAAAATAGTGCACAGCAGTATTATTTACAGTAGCCAAAAAGTGGAAGCGACTCAAGTGCCCATCGATCAATGAGTGGCTAAATAAAATGTGATATAGTCACACAATGGAATATTTCTCAGCCTTAAAAAGAATGAAGTATTGGTATACACTGCAGCAGCTTTCAAGGATGAACCTTGAAAACGTTATGCCGAGTAAAAGAAGCCAGACACAAACAGCGACATATTGCAGGATTCCATTTATACTAAATGTCCAGAATAGGCAAGAAAGAAAATAGACTGGTGGTCACTAGGGGCTCAGGATGAGGGGGGAAGGGGGTGACTGCTTAATCATACAGGGTTTCATTTTGGGGAGATGAAAGTTTTGGAACTAGAGAGTGGTGATGATTATACAACATTGTGAATTGACTAAATGCTACTGGGCTGTGCACATTAAAATGGTGAATTTTTGTGCTACATGTATTTTGCCACAATAAAAAAAATCCACTTAGCAATACACTGCTTCATTCAGTCCTCACAAGGGCTGATGCCCAGACCTCTGACTCCAAAACCTAAAATAACACTCCTGCTATGTCCGAATGATGACTCCAACACGGAATGCTTGTCATTACACTAAACCAGAGGGCGATCTCAACCAGACTCCTATTCTGTTACCTTCCAGCTCAAAACCTCATACAGATTCCCACACCCTAGAGAGGACATCTTAATCCGGCATTTACAGCCTCCTCCGCTGGCTTCTCCCTCCTCATCAGTGACTTATCAACATCCGCCGTTCACTTCAGCTACACCAGCCCTGCATCACCCCAAAGACCTCCATCATTGCCTGGCTACACCTTTGCCCCCACCCTCTTTTTCCCTTTGGGTGCATGCCATGCAATCCATGTCTGTCACATAGATGGCAGCATTCTGCCTCCCGGAAGCTGCCTTTACAAGCCCTACACTGTGAAACCTCTAGATTACAGGGTATACTGTAATTACAGGTGTACACAGATGCGCCTGCAATCCCTGTCCCTAGTATATCCTGTGATCTCCCCAGAAAGCATATCCAAGTAGATCATACAATGCCCGAGTTTTGTAAGGCATGCATATCCTCATCCATATCTCTGTCGTGTCGCCC